AGAGGCTCATTCTGGGGTTTAATTTAGATTCATTTTGAAATCAAGAGTGTATTGGTGGAGATAGCTCAGCAGACTAAAGCACCTGCTTAGGCAGGTGCAGGGATGGGGCCTGATCCTACTGTGCTATCTCCACTGCTGGGCACACCGAGAAGGTGATTGAGACTGGGCCTGGTGGTGCACACCTGTAATCCCAGTGCTTGGGAGGCTGAAAACAGGAGGAACACTACGAGTTTGATCTGTGTAGTGAGACCCTATACTAAATACACTTTTTTAAAAAAGTATATTGGTGACTTTCTGCCAGAGGTAGTTAATGACAAATCTGGGAAGGTGTACTGCTTATCACCTTGCCAGAAAATGTGACAATAGCTCCAAGAGTTACCCACAAAGGGCATTGGGCTACATGGCTTGCCTATCTGCGAAGGGCCCCCAAGACAGCAGGGCGCGCCCGTCACTGTGGACTCACGCTTGGCTGCGACTGCTTCTCTCACATCCAGGGTTGAAATACTGCTGTGCGTGGATGAGACCCAGAGAGCAGGGCTGGCAAGAGTGCTCTTCAGGCAGAGCCGAGTCCACCAGGCAAGATAAGCCGGTCATTCCGGAGACCACTGTAGAGCTTGTCATAAGGAATAAAAGATGGATCTCAGAAGAAACAATTTCTTTTTTTGTATTTTTATCTTTTTGAAACAGGGTTTCACTATGCAAGTCAGCCTGGCCTTGAGCTCACTTTGTAGCCCGGGCTGGTCTGGAACTCACAATGATCCTCTTACATCAGCCTCCCAAGTGTTGGGATGACAGGCATGCACCACAATGCCTGACCACAATTTTTCTATTGAGGTAGAATTTGTGTATCTGATAGTAGACCTCCTTTTGTTATATGTAGGAAATAGCCATTATCCTGAAATAACCTTACCTGTTGACATCCTTATTTTTATTTATTTTTATTCAGTTCATTGTAGGTATACACATTTTTCACATTTACTACAGGTAATTTGCACCTGTACCTGACATGACTTTATTCTTTTCTTTCCATTCCCCTACCTTTTCAACCTTTTTCTTTTCCTTATTTATAAAAGCTTTGCTTCCATTTTATATACTTTTTTTTTTTTTGGAGCTTTGCAAATTTATAGACTATTCACATAAAACGCACATAGAACAATAAACACCTTTATTACACGAGTTAAACCAGGAGGGAAGGTTTATTTGCCTTTCTGGGCCTTGGTTTTCCTCAGCTAGAACTCCAGCTCTTTGCCCTCTAGCACACAGCCATCTGCTCAGCCACACTGGCCTGGGCGTGATGCAATGCAGGTAGGAAGCTTGGCCTGCTGGAACTGCTCCTCCAGAAGACTGCTGATCTTGGCATTCCTTTTCCTTTCATCATACTTTTGAATTTTCTTTGATCGTTTTTTGTTTAAAATCTCCTCCTCCTCAGGAGTCAGCTTGGCCCCCTTTTTTCGGCCCAGGGGCAGTGCATAGTGGGATTCGTACCACTGTCGGTACGGCATGCTGTCAATGAGCACAATGCAGTTCTTCACCAAGGTCTTGGTGCGGACCAGCTCGTTATTGGATGCATTGTAAACAACATCAATGATGCTTGTTTTTCGAGTACAGCACTCAGAGCCCCAGGAGAAGTTTCCCACATCTAGCCGCAGGGCTCGGTACCTCTTGTTGCCTCCTCGAACTCGGACTGTGTGTATGCGGCGGGCACCAATCTTAGCGTTGGCAGCAGGGCGTCCCAACTCATACTTCTGCTTCTTGTGATAGGGTTTTCTTTTGCCCCCGGTCTTGCGGCGCTTGTGCCAGTTGTCCCAAGAGATGGCCATTGCTCCATGCCGGCTGGAAAGAGCTTTATATACTATTATTATTATTATTATTATTATTATTGGTACTTGGAATCGAATTCAGGACCTTGCACTTGCTGGGCGGGTGCAATGCCACTGAGCTATATCCTCAGCCCTTATGTCTCTATTTTTAAAATCACTGTTATAATTCAGAGTGTCCCAACAGTCCTTTAGAGATAAAAAGAAAAACTATGTTTAGGAAATAGCTTTGATTTTGTATTATTCCAAATTTGGACGCAAGGAGTCTGCTGGTGTCAGGCAGAAGCACGGCTCTGAAGCCCTTGGAGGAAGACACCCATTTTCTGTAAGCGGCTGATAGTGGTCCAGCTGCAGCCACCCTGCTGGGCAACCCAGCTGTGGACCAAGTGTAGCCCAGGTGCGCGGGGGAGGGGAGGGCTGGCTGGATGACAGTGACAGGCTTACCCTCAGGCTCAGGCCTCTGGAGGTCAATTGATTCTTCTTCACCCATTGGCCTTTCCTTTCTGGAACCACAGCAACAAGGCTAGGAGGCTACACAAAACTCCAGTGGAAGCTGCTCAGTTCTTCTTGCACAGGACAGACTCACACCCTAGCTCACTGTGAGAGAGGACGCAGACGTTTTATTGTGTCAATACTGCAGGACAGCCCAAGCTCCTTCCATGTCCTCTGGGAAGTCTGCTCTCTTAGGAGCGGTCTACAGGCAACACTCAGTACCACCAACATGGCCTCAGAGCCCGTGAACCTCAGGGAAAGAGGGCACACTGACACCCCAGAAGAGGCTCCCACCTGAAGGTCAGGGGCCTCCAAAGAGGGTTGCTGCAGTCAGGGAACATGTCAGAGCCAGGAGTGCAGTCCTGGCTTTGAGCGAGCTCTGGGTTCCAGACTCAGATGTGCCAGTGACAGCTGTGTGGCCTTGGGACGAATTCTTTCAATCTCTCAAGCAGCAGTTAGGACATCCCATCTTGTCAGCCATGCGGGGAGTGTAACACGGCAGACCGTCCTTAAAAGCTTCACCTACTGCTTGTCTTAGTACACAGTGAATAGGGGAACCACCTTCCTGATATCCTTGTACCCCCATTACCCTTGTGCCCCAGAAATTAGGTTTAGGAGCTGAGCTACTGAAAAGACCCCTCTAAGGAAGTCTGGTGCGCAGGCAGTCCTGGAAAAACACACCGAGGTAACCAGTCACTTCTCAACACTCCTTGCCGGCCACAGCAATCCTCGGGGGGCTGGCCACAGTCCTCTAGCTAAAGAATCCCCAAGTTCCCTCCACTTCCAGGTTGTCAACTAAAACCCAAAGGTGTGAAGATCCTGATGGCAAATCCGTTATCTTTTAGTTGTTTTGTTTTTGAGACAGGGTCTCTATGCGGTGAACGCTGGCCTTGAGCTCCCTTTGCAGCCCAACGACCCTCCTGCCTCAGCCTCCAGAGTGCTGGGATGAGAGGCTTGGTTCCCAAAGCAGTTCGAAGCACTTGCGAGGAGAAAATCAGATTCCAGAGGGAAAGGCTTCCCCCTCACTACTTGCTCTCTTATGTAAATGGAGCCAATTAAATCTCTTTGAACTCTCTAGTTCGTACAGAGTCAATACCTAACTGAACTAGGAAGGATCAAATGGGAAAACCTTTATGCGGAAAGCTCCTAGCACGTAGCGGGCGAGGCGGGAGGGCCTCAGTTCACACCCGAGCCACCTCAGAAGGGCGAGGACACCAGAGCCACCACAGAAGTGCGAGGTCACTGCCTGCCCTGGCGTGCTAGGACTGGCAAGGAAGTTAAAACTGGAAGCAAGAGATACGCTCGGGTCCGGGCTGCCCGGCCCTGGTGAACGTATATTCTGCCTTAGAAAAGCTACACGTTCTAACTGATTTACTGAACTATGGCTCACGATTTACCTCTTTGCCTGCTCAATTTCATGCCTGCTTCCTAAGAATTACGTGGCCAGGCAAAGCGCGCTCTGCCCAACCCCAGTAACTTCGTACTAGACGAACTTCCTCTAGGAGAGAAGGTAGACGACCTACGGAATACTACCGCGGCGTCTACTATCAGTCATCTTTTTTATTTCTTCTTCGTCCAACTAGGAGACGGCCCAGGAGGCAGCAGCGTCGGCACTAAGCGGGCGCAGCGCGGCGTGCGAGCTGCCCTTCCCGTTTCTCAATTCGTGGAGCCCGCCCGCGACACCGGCGCGGCGGCGGGGCCGCCCGAGGGCGCCAGGCCGAGGCTCTTCCCG